AAAAAAAAGAAAAAAAAAAAAAAATGTTGATCTATGGGATGCGGTATTTGCTTTGTGACAATTGGATTATCTGTGGGATGTGTCATTTGCTTTGTCTGTCTGATACACTTTCTTTCCTTGTCAGGTTTGGTTCCTTTCTTTTCTTCACCTCTTTTTTGCCTTTTGGCTGCGTGCAAGTGGGGGGGGTCCTTGTGACACACGCGGGGGGATGGGGGCAGCCAGCGCGCAACCTGTCATCCACGTGGCTGGCCTTGTACGTAAGAGGTGATGAACAGTTGGGGCTTTCCTTCCTTTCTTCTTTTCCTTTCCTTGTTTTGCTTTTTTTCGCCTTCGCGCTCTGATTTACAGTGTGACAATATAGATAGATAGTAGATAGATAGATAGATAGATAGATAGATAGATAGATAGATATGGCTGTGTGCAAGTGGGTCGATATGACACACGGGGGTGGGGGCAGCCGCCGCTCAACAGACAGAACTGCTGGGTAAACCGTAGGCAGAGAGGGAGAACAGGACACCAAACGAGGGGCTGTGACAAACTTTTTCGTCGGAACGAGGGGCTGTGACAAACTTTTTCGTCGGAGTTTCACCAACTCGTCAGGAGACTGTATATATACGCACATAGGTGTATATCATATACACGTATACATACCGACTCATCAGGAGACTGTATATATACATACACATAGGTGTATATCATATACACATATACATGTGTATATATAATATATATGTTCTGGAAGGGAATGTTCTCTCTACGACATGCAGGTCAGGCAGTATTTGCTTTCGCCAGCTCCTGCATTGTTTTCTGTGTGCTTTTTCCTCTCTTTTTTTTTTGGTGTGTGTTGCCCTCCTGTCGTTCCTCAGATTCGTGAAACCTAAACCTAGACCGATTCTTGCTACTAGCCTTTCTCCGTAGCACAATTAGATCTACATCTGGCATTTGAAAAAATAATAATAATAAAAAATCTACATCTGGCTTATGATAATATATAGCCACAGTTCCGGGGTAAAAAAAGGTTCACAGTTCGACCCAGATCTTAAACCCAGTAAGAAAAGTAACAAAGGGGAGCAGGCCAATGTGGCCAACGCAGGTTTTTTTTTTTTTTTTTTTTTTTTGGTT